CAATCAGTATACAGGAGTTTATGAATCTCAGTCTCGCCGAGAAGGACAAAAACGAAGAGTTTAAAGCTTTAGAACAACATCGAACATTGGTCACGTGCATAAGCACAAAGTATCCGCAATTCAATCTATCTATACACAGGTCAGAGAAGGTTACTTCAGGCCAAACTCCCACCGCTAACCAAAAGTCTGGTACGGTGCAGGGAAGCACAGACTTTCAGTAGGCTAGGGCGCCCTGTTGGGAAGAAACCATATTTGTGGAGCCTCTAGGAGGTAATGGTGAGAAAAACTTAGCCCCAAAAATTCCTTGCCTTTTTAATAAAGGACAAGAATACAAGCCAGGCTAGTTGGTTGCGAAATCCAGTGTAACAAGTTCTAAAAGCCCGGGTCAACACCCTATCGACTGCGTTGCATCTGTTATTTACATGAGACGGTGTGCCGTCAGGAAAGTAGACTATATACTGTATTGCCTAAGGCAAAAGGGGTATTACGGTCACTTGTCGGCTGGTGACTGAGTCTATTCACCGTGTCTAAAACAACTAGTAAATTTAGGAGTAATTTTTTGTCCCTGACAGGATCTAACGCTGCTTAGTTCTTAGTTTAGACTCATTGTATTATATCATCTATGAACGGTCTGGCTTGAGTATCAATCAATCATGGATCTTTGTTATTAAAAAATATGAAGCATCTCTGCTAAAAAATTAGAAGCCTTATTGTCGTGAGCCACTGGCTGGTTTTATCAGCATGGTGGACATCGGTATGCCAAATAATTTTATCTTGCGATGTCAGGGACACAACTAATAAGTAAAACATCACTATGTGATATTCAAATGGCACGCATACTGTTAAGTGACATTTTTTGTGAAAAGCACAGATTGAATGATGACCGCATGTTATTAAGCGTAGAGTTATCGAGAATCTGATTCATTTCTAGAGCATGGAGTGTCACTGTTGGACGAACAGATTTAAGTTGGCTGTGATAGCGAAGCGTTGAATGTAGATTTAATGTTGATGATGAAGTTACCAGGCATCTAGAGCCTGGCTTAGTGAATGATTGTGAAGTAGTATTTACTATGTTATAGTGTGTTCGAGTAAAATGCTTGTATCCGGTGTCGATTGTAGCGTCAGCTTCAGAGTTAAACAAATTACATTTAATAATGATATCGAGCAGAAAGAGACGAGCCGCGATCGCGTACTTTGTCACAAAGATATGATAACGTCCAGCTGCATACAATGGTAAATGGAGTAGCTTGCTTTTTGTTACAGATAGCCTAAAAAAATAAAACCTCGTTAAAAACTTTATTGGAGCTTGATGAGATGTCATTGAACTTATTTAGTCACTTACAAAAATGTGGACCTTTTAGAGGTAATAACCTTCGTCCTGACTTCAACGAGTTAGACTTGTCTTCGCTTTTTGATGGAGCTGTTACAGGGTACACAAAGAAGCGCTTAGTGCGCTTAGTAAATCGTTAATCTTGATAAATACTCATTATCCCTAAATCTTTTGGTAAAAGGTTTTTATAAGACGTCGTGTGCCACGACCCTTTTTCTGTTTTACCCGCCAGATAGAATTGTTAGTCGTGAACTTAATTCAGTTGCTGGAAACAAATGTTGTGTCACACGACAGTAGCGCTTACCAATTTGACAGTATGATGCAATCGACTTACTTCTTCCGTGCCAAACTCGAGGCAGGGATGGTGAGTAAGAGTTAATCAATATATTCGACACCAACACTTTGTGCCGAAACGCTAAAAGGCAAGTGGAGTACCATGTGTGCTTAAAAAGCAAAATGTGATCGATGTTCCGGCACAGACACCCAACTTCGGTAGATCATTCTTCAAAATAACAGGTGATTGTACTAAGTACAGTGTACTCAACTCAGTCAATGGATATTGTAAATAGCTCATACAAAAGAGTAATAATAAGTTGACACCGTGAGCCCTTCAAGTGGTATGCTATAGCAATTTATGGCTGGCGATGCCTTAAAGATTTTTAAAACGCTGGATGCATTTAGTCGTCTGATAACGCAAAGTATCCTCATCCATTAAGAATTATGAACATACATTCTTTGATGACATTTTTGTCCATAATGTGACGAGCAAGGACGATCAGATGTTGATGATCAAATAGGTAATCTGAGAGTTTTGATCGAGTGCATGCACACAGATAAATTTTACGATAACGCGTCAAAATTTCATTCTGGCTCAGACGGGGGTCATTTTCTAGAGTGTTTTATCGGCACGCGCGGCCTCAGAGCAGATCCTTTCTAAGCTCAAAGCTGTCGTTGGATGGTCGAACCCTTAAAATTAAACAGACTTGCGCAAGTTCCTTCTCCTTGAAAATTACTAGTTTAAATGCAGTGATTAGTACGCTGATCTGCTTCGGTTATTAACTAGCCTCCTTAAAAAAAGCAGATTTATGTTGAAATACGATTCATGCTGACGCATTCCGAGAAGTAAAGGAGATCCTCCTCCATGCTCTTATTTTGGCAATACGAAAATCTGACTTACCTCTTTGTTTTTGCAAAGCATCCGACTTTGCCAAAGATAGACCTTATTGCAAACAGATGCTGAAGGATGTTAGCATGCTATCGTATTTGATCCTCGCCACCTAAAAGCTGCTGAGAAAAACTATCTTGTTTAGACAAAGACATACTCGCCATGATGTATGCTCGTATTAAATTTATATTCTTATTGCTTGGCTTGAGGATATGTGTCTTCTCTAAGGATAGTGCTTCATTACCTACGGCGACACAGTTACCTCACCTCTATCAGAGAATAGCTCGTTGGCCATCCCTTTGTAGAGATCAAAATTTCGAGGTAAAGTACAAACCAGGCAGACAAAAGTTTTGGCAGATTACTACTCTCGCCGACCTAATTATGAGCTTTTCCATGTTACGACACTTTCGTCTCCTACCGAGGATTTCGTTTGACAGCATCTCCGTGGAACTCTCAATGTGTGTCATGGTTTCATTATCTTGGGAGTGGAGAGTAGAAAGACTCGGAAAATCTTTGTCGACACGCTACGTGTCAGTCTACATAGCTATTTTATCGGTCGCGGTCTCTTGTGCTATCGCACAGATGCGACGCATAATTATCGCATTTTTGTGCCTCACGATGAGGACCCAAAGTATTGTATCCTCTTTGAGGCGCATGATGCTGCTCTCAGCGGGCTTTTAAGACGTGGAAATACTTGTGTTTATGTAGGTCAACACTGCTGGTGGCCCAAACTATACATATGGGTGAGAACATGCGTTCGTACATTTAAAAACAGTGCCAGGGATCAAACCCTTGGCACATTTATCGGGCGGTCTCTTGCTAGTTTACATGTGCCTACTGAGGGTTTATAGTCCCTCAGTATGAAATACAATTTCATTGTTTTAGACTATTGTAAACGAAATAAGGAGCTCGTGTTCTTTGTGGGTCAAATATGCAAAATGGCTAGCTTACAGCTACGCTGTTTATCGATAGTTTGTTTTGGTCAAGCGGTTTCCCGCTGGCAAAATTTTGCTTACTACGGAATTAGCTTCACTGGAAATGTTCCATTTTAGAGGTGCTTAGCAAACGATTGGACATGGATACAATGGATCATAAGCTCACACATGATTAAAAGATTGCATTATCTCGACATCGGAGACGTTCTTAACAGTAATTTTGAGTCGCCAAAGCCTTAGAGCTCGATACTTCTGCCATTGTGTTTGCGTTGAACAACGCTGTACTGGATGCACTGTATTCGACACAGACAGCCTCACACACCCACGAGTTCGGCTCATGTTACCATTACAGGTTCTTGGTTTTGGTGGGGGAGATTCTGCTGACACAAATGTAGAAACTATTCTTAACACTATGAAATAAGAGCACGCAACGTGCTTTAGCGTCTTAAGCCATCTGAGTGATGCAGTAAATATAATCCACGATAAACTAAAAGAAGACGCTGACGCTAAGGGCAAAGGATGTTTTTTAAGCATTATTATTTGGATACCAAGTCTTAAATAAACGATAATCCCTTCCGAAAAATGGAGTGTACGCCATCTTCAAGACGAATATGCGCCCACGATTCGTTGATCCGTTCACGGTCGTAGCTAAGAAAGACCTTGCCTATACGCTTAACCTTCCGCGCAATCTGCGCACATATACAGTGCTTTACGTTGATTTGATGGACCATGTCATACGTATACTTGCGTGGACCGGGAGGTGCTTTCGCCTGGAAGAAAAACGATCGTCCCAGATAGATTAATCTGTGACATGAGCCCCACATGGCCAGCACACCAAGCAGGTTGAATTCCACCTTTTCCAGTCATTTATAAAACTATTCGATCGATCCGGATAAATTCATATTGTGGTGGAGTGGAAGTCGCTGATTTTTTGAGGCGATCCCGACTCTCCACTGGCGTCCAGAAGACCGACTAACGGAGGGGGTACTCCAATTTCGCTTGCACTTGTTTCCTCCTCACCTTATGTACCCGTCGGCAGGGCGGGTTGCACTCTTCTAGATGGACTCGACGGGATGCTAAACTTGACCGTTGTAGAGATTGGTGCTGATCGGGTGGAAAATCTTCACCCGATCGCGTGTTCTGGGTTGGCGCTCTCCTAGAGTCGCCGTGATCTGCCCTGATCACCTTTTGCCAAAATGTAATTGAGTCGCGAGCCTTTCTGGCCACTTGAGCCGTCTCCCAACCTTGTACTTCAACCGATACGATTGGCTGCGTCCGATCGCAGTAGGGGTGTGTTGAGAGTCCTAGCACTCCTGGACAAATAGCTCCAGGAGTGATCGTTCTATCCTTGACGTCGAGATTCTCAGACGTCGGGAGGCCAAAATATTCAACCCGGGAGAAGATCGACACGAATGTGTTTAGAAGCAAATTGAACTCTGTTTAATGTTAACCAATCAGACCCTCACAACTTACCCCTATAACTCAGAAAATCAGATGCCACGCGTCGCCTCTACAGATCGCCCCTTTTACCTATGTGGCACAGAACTGACACACCAACTGTCTGATCGCATCAGGGCTTGGTCCACGCCAGATCGCGGTCCCTTGATCGCGGCCCCTGATTGCGGTCCCTTGATCGCGGCCCCTGATCACGTTCCCTTGATCGCGGCCCCTGATCACGGTCCCCTGATCGCGGTCCCTCAATCGCGGTCCCCTGATCGCGGTCCCTTGATCGCGGTCCCTTTCGCCGTTCGGAACCGTTCTGACTGGATGAGATACTTCCGTGAATAGTCCCAACGGTGCCATCCATACGATTGGTCGTCGTCCCACGATCGTTCCGCCGGTTCCCACTCCGTACTAAGGCACACGTTTGAGGTTTTACGACACCGATCTTGATCGACTTTACCACAATCGCCACCTGCACAAGCCGACCTACAATATCTGGCTCGCTTGTGCACGTTTTAGTCACCGCTTTCCGTTTTATCCTCCCGTTGCCTTCCATGGTTTTCCCGTCGTCCACGCCCAGCTTGCCACCAACTAGTTGTGCGCCATCTCCCTCGGCGATGATGCAATCTGGTCCCGCACCTTCGGTCGGTGTTGACATTTCGCCACGCGAACACCCAACTGGCCCCGATGACACTACAGACGCGGTTGAGAGTACCTCGGTGAGCGGAGGTCCGATCGGCCCTGCTTTGGGAATCGATGATGCTGAGGACCTCGCTACAAGTACGGAACCGATCGGCTCGTCTGAGTCCATATCTGATTCTGCCGAGGCATAGCATGACGACCCCGTGTATTCTTCTTTCACGTTGCGGTCGGTTGACTCTCCACCTTGTCTCAGGTGTTCTTCCTCTCTGTCGACTCGCTGGCTCAGGTGTCGTTATTCACTCTTGATTCGCTGGCTCGGATGTCCTTCTTCAATCTCAATCCGTTTGCTTATAGGGTTGTGAGACTTTGTCAGTGGAGTTAGCTTTTTGAATAGTAGCTGTATTGCTTTGATCACCCGATCGTGATTGAATTCTAAGATCGTCTGTGCGTCGAAAGCTCCAGCTGTTTTAAAGCGTCTCTTAGCAGCTGAATAAGCCGATTCAATGCCCATAACTGATTCGAGGTCACTTTCGGTGGCGATACTGGACCTTGGATCGACCCGATCAGCTTAGGTTTCAGCACCGTTAGGACTGGGTCTTCTGCAAGAAGTTTCTTCAGTTGTTGCCAATGGAATTTCCAGGTGATCCGTTCCAATTGCCAGCCTTTTGATTCCACATCCTGACCTTCTGCCTTGATCTCTTGCTTGTTTCGATGTGGCTCTGCCGTCTTCGTCTTTGAACAGGCTAACTTAGGAGTGTGTTTCCTCGCCTTTGGTTGTGCGGTAGTTTTGAATGAAGATCTTTCCGTTTTTACTGTAGGATTTCCATCTGGCAGATCGTGCTTTGCAGCACGATCCGCAATGGTCCCCGAAGGGATCTCAGGAGGGGTTTGAGGTTTTTCTTTTGATCAGCTTGGTGATCTTCCTCTTTGACTTTCTTGTCATCATAGCCTCTCCCAAAAATACGATGATCTTGGGATCCTTTCTCTTCGCGCGTCTGTGGCTAACCATATTCCGCTGACGATCGAATCCCAGGTTCAGTCTTAATCTTACCATCTTCATCAGGGGACTCAAGTCGAAATCCCTGGTTCGAATTCGGGCACGCACACCATTGTGGCAGAGTGGGGTTCGCTCATTTTTTGAGGCGATCCCGACTCTCCACTGGCGCCCAGACGACCGACTAACGGAGGGGGTACTCCAATTTCGCTTGCACTTGTTTCCTCCTCACCTTATGTACCCGTCGGCAGGGCGGGTTGCACTCTTCTAGATGGACTCGACGGGATGATAAACTTGACCGTTGTAGAGATTGGTGCTGATCGGGTGGAAAATCTTCACCCGATCGCGTGTTCTGGGTTGGCGCTCTCCTAGAGTCGCCGTGATCTGCCCTGATCACCTTTTGCCAAAATGTAATTGAGTCGCGAGCCTTTCTGGCCACTTGAGCCGTCTCCCAACCTTGTACTTCAACCGATACGATTGGCTGCGTCCGATCGCAGTAGGGGTGTGTTGAGAGTCCTAGCACTCCTGGACAAATAGCTCCAGGAGTGATCGTTCTATCCTTGACGTCGAGATTCTTAGACGTCGGGAGGCCAAAATATTCAACCCGGGAGAAGATCGACACGAATGTGTTTAGAAGCAAATTGAACTCTGTTTAATGTTAACCAATCAGACCCTCACAACTTACCCCTATAACTCAGAAAATCAGATGCCACGCGTCGCCTCTACAGATCGCCCCTTTTACCTATGTGGCACAGAACTGACACACCAACTGTCTGATCGCATCAGGGCTTGGTCCACGCCAGATCGCGGTCCCTTGATCGCGGCCCCTGATTGCGGTCCCTTGATCGCGGCCCCTGATCACGTTCCCTTGAACGCGGCCCCTGATCACGGTCCCCTGATCGCGGTCCCTCAATCGCGGTCCCCTGATCGCGGTCCCTTGATCGCGGTCCCTTTCGCCGTTCGGAACCGTTCTGACTGGATGAGATACTTCCGTGAATAGTCCCAACGGTGCCATCCATACGATTGGTCGTCGTCCCACGATCGTTCCGCCGGTTCCCACTCCGTTCTTAGGCACACGTTTGAGGTTTTACGACACCGATCTTGACCGACTTTACCACAATGTGCACACGCAAACGATCCAAGTCAGTAAGTGAATGATTATGAGTGCGCTAAACTTGGTCGAGGATATGCCGGGGTCTTCCTTTTCAGTCTTGGACAAATCCAGTGTTTATTGTTCTCCACCGACACACAGGCCTCCCCCTGAGTTGCTTGAAAAGCAAGATAACTTGCATTTCCACGTGGAGAGGCGCCTGTAGCGGTGGCGTCACCATGGTCAATACCAGTATCTGGTGAAGTGGCGTGGATACCCTGAATCCGGAACTCATGGAGGTTAGAAATTTTGCTTCGTCAAAATTGTCCGTTTACCGTGGGCGTTTTGAGACTCGCGCTGAGGGTCATCTTGCAACCCGACCCGCTTCCCATCATTCGGCGCGGGGCGTATGGATTGCTCACTTGAACTAAGTGACCCGCAATTGTCCGCACAGTTAAAACATTGGAGGATGTTCCAGAGGCTGAATTTTCGTATCAATTACGATAATGGTGTTGTTATTAACCTTTGGCCTTAGCTTTTCGATCTCGTATCGCATTTGCGCTGTAAACGAGCGTTCGCATTCACGGCAAAATAGCAAAGGGAATTTGTGCTGAATAATCGACGTGCTCTGTGAGCCCAGTGATTAGATGCATATTCATCTCCAGCCTTTATCTATCCTGGATAAATAGTAATTGGAACTGTTCTTTATGTGAGTAGAGACGCTCCATGTGCTTGTTTAGACAACCAGGCTTGTTAATTTGTTGATCGTTGTCGTATCTGGCGTCAGGTATCTCTCTCTAGGAGACTCTCGCACGGCAATGTCGACAGTAATCGTAGCCTCTCGTCCAGTGGACCAAGTGCCTATAGGATGTATAGCGAACTTTTGCAACAGCTCACTAACACTTAAATGATAGCAGGAATAGTACGAATGAGAACCCTTCCTCGACAATATCTGAGATAGACGTGTAGCTCTCTCAATGTCTTCTGTCATCTGCTTTTTTTATCGAAAATGAAGGTGATGACGTGCTTATCAAGAGTGGTTAGAGCACCCAAGGCTGTGAAATGATGAGCTGTAATGCGGTCAGGAAACGTATTTGGCATTATGCGCGAAGGTTAGTGCGATGCTAGCGCGTTAGGTGCAGGATCTTCATCTCCTAGCGCAGCTGTGTCTACGTCATAATTGACGAATTTCCTTCTTGCACAACGTCGTTCTAAGACTCGAAGGAATGGGATAACTTTTCCATCCATGTGTAAGGTATCGTGAAAAAATGCAAGCGTGATGTAAGCTGTAGTCTTCAAGTGTTTTTAATGAAAAAGTTGAGTGATGCCGATTCAGGGTATCGAATATTTGCTGAGCGAGGTTGTTACGGGGTTTTACAACGGTTAGCATAAGCAAGTACAATGGTTTGACACACAACTTTAAAGATCAGTGAAACTGATGGGCGTATTATGATATATAATACGATAGTTAAATTACCGTACGTTATTGACTATGGTTGGATGGTACCTTTTGTAAAAGAGGTAAGCTCATCACGTCTGTAAAGACTTGAGACCCTTGTAGTCGGGTCCGTTTCTATTAAAACACTTAATTGATCTACGAGTCTATAGGTCTTTGTCTGACAATGGAGTCAGTGTCGCTCCGCTACATAAATTTTTGACCAATGTCTGCATTTACGTAGTGGTAATAGCAAGAAACTAAGAATTGCGCATGAATTAGTCATGACGACAAATTAGGTCTGATACTATCGTACTAACATTTCAATGGCTCTCAATTTTGTGCTGTGTTGGACACTTTGCAGCATGCGGAGCAACGGTACAGGCTTGATAATAATGGAATATTAATGGTGAAAGCAGTACTAATACTAGCAGCATGATTAGTAATAATATACAGAATAACCTGCCCAATTTAATCTATAAAAAACAATCTTGCTATATATGGTAAGGAGGTTTTTCAATATCTTTGTTTCTTATAAATGTGTTAAGTAAACTTGATCATGGGAAAAATAGTAATTAAGTAATAATTTGGTCGGATTTGACAGTTTAAGGCTCGATAAATGGGTCTGCGGTGTGCGCACAACACTTTCGCAAAATTAGCATGAGTTTTAAACTTGTCTCTGGCACTTAAGAGAGATTTATGCCGCGCGGTCCTTCAGATCAACTTGGAGTGAACTGCGAGTACTCTGACTCATTTTGAACTCTCTACAGGACCCGCACCCCTCATTACACTATGGGGCCTTTCGGCAAGTAGGGCCTCCAGCCCACCCAACTATCCAAGCCTTGCGCGGGTTGGCAGGGCGGCCACTTCCTCGTGGTTGCTCGTCTACTAGATCGGCCTATCTCCGGCACCCTGTAAACGAACCCCCACCGGGTATCGATACAGGTACCTCCCGGTCCCAGTTCCAGCGGTGGTCCACTCGGCCACTGGAGTCGGTCCTCTCTGGCACTTAGAAACAATAATTCTATCAAAACGCTTAGAAAGCCAAAATACATTGCTGTGTTCTAATGGTTAAGGGTGTCGCATCTATAAGTGTTTTTGCTACGTAGTAAATAAGATATTAGCTGTACTAATCTATAATTAGAGAACGGCTTTAGCTCGACTGAGCTGGCGTGGCAGCATGATTCCAAACGTCTTAAGATCGGTAACCAAAATGAGCAAAAGCGATAGAGTTAGAACGTCGGGTCCTAGTGTGTGGGGACACCAGCAGTGTCCCGCCAGACATTGACGTCCACCCAACTTTGTGATTTAACTCATCAGAGAAAATCACGACGGGTCTATTTTCAGTATACAGTAAGCAGAAGGTGTGCGCAGCGATCGTGCTTATACTAAATTTATTCAGCCAGCAATTGAGGTTGTTAAATGTTCTGTCAAGATCACTTGGTCATCGTGTCAGAAATAGTAAGATAGTTGGTGCTGCTGAGAAATATCCACAATTCAGTGTCTGTGTAACGGGGTGAATCGTTACATAACAATTTGTAAGAAATTGTTAATAGAATATAACTATAAGAGTTGTATTCTCAGAATATTGTCATAAGGACAAATATTCTGTAGCACTTACGAGTAGTTCCTAATTGGTTGATATAGGCC